TTCTGACCTCCTCAGCCCCCACCAGTCATCGATATCCGCTCTGCCTGTAACAAGCAGAGGGGAGAAAAGCGTTCCTGTGATTAATACATACTGTGTCTTGCAGGATAATATGTGGCTCCAGGGTTAGAGTGGAAGTGTCAACAGGGATGCCTCGCCGCTCCCGTTACGACAGGCCTCCTGCACGGCGCCCCTTTGACCCTAATGACAGATGCTATGAGTGTGGTGAGAAAGGCCACTATGCCTATGACTGTCACCGCTATAGTCGCCGAAGGAGGAGCAGGTATGTGCGGGGCCACAGCGGCTGGGGCGCCTCGCTGGCTCACTTTTGTGTAGCTCTTGTTAGCAAAGAACAGCATGTTACGCCAGTTTTCTTTAAAATTTAACGCTAGAATAAATGTATAGGTGTATATTAAAATTTGTTGCTATTTCTATCAAATGTTAATATCTTAATAATCAACCTGGTCAAAACCTTTCAGGTTTCTTCGTTTGAGTCAGTCGCCTTGATTCAGAATGTCACGAGCCTTAAGATTTCATGCTGAGGCGCCTTGCAAATCCGACACTTAAGATCCTCCTAGACCTTGAGGTGATCAGCATAAGAGGCCAGATCCCCTCGAGCCATCTACACGTAGCTTCACCTTATTCTTTAAGGGCAGAAAATTTGAGACGGTGATCGCCGTAACAGTAAATTTGGCTTTCAATTGGGGCCCCCCTCCGGTTTAGAAAGAGGAACACCAGATTGACCACATTCCCACCTAGAAAAATCTTCTTGCGTCAATCAAGCCTCACCCTGGCTCATTGGGCTGTCAGTTTGATCGTCGTTAGATTGAAGAGAACACCTAGATGCAGCGATCGGCTATAGATACTTCTAGATCGTCTAGATCTGCTAGACCTTGGGCCAAAGAGGGTCGACCTGCAAACTTGCAAGGTTTATTTTAAATACGCATTACAGTGTTTTCTATTCTAATGTAATTCTGCAATGTAATTCAGCTTTTAACATTTTTCTAGGTAGTAAAAATGCTCAAGACAAGTAGGCCCAGAGATTTTTTCCAACTGACAGATGCTAGTGGTGTGTTTTTGTTATTTTGGTTTTGTTTTTCTTTTCTTTTCTTTTTTTTTTTTTCTTTTTTTAGTTGTCTGAAATCAGTTTTGACTTCAGCAGGGCCTCATGTGCACCGATTGCTGTAGCTGTTTCCTGATACCTGTTTTCTCTAACCTAAAACCAGGTCCCGGTCTAGATCCCGTTCGAGGTCCCGAGGAAGAAGGTATTCTCGGTCACGCAGTCGCAGTCGTGGTAGGAGGTAAGGTTCTGGTGCTTGTGTTTTCCTGCTTTTTGTTTCTTTTTCCTCTGCTCCACCCCTTTCTGTAGTCTTGTGAAAAGTACCCTGCAGTAATTTTGGTGGTTTTTTTCCCCTTTGTTTTGTAGATCAAGGTCAGCTTCCTACCGCAGGTCCAGGTCAATCTCTCCTCGTAGGTATAGATCGTTTTCACCCCGCAGATCTCGGTCTGGTTCTTTAAGGAGATCAAGGTATGTGTTTTCTAAGAAACCCACAGCACTGTTGAAGGGATCATAACTGTTGGAGTTAATGTTAAGTTTGTATTTTGCAGTCTGAGTGTTTGCAGGAACCTTCATGGTGTTAGATCCGTGAGAGCTACTCTGAATGCTTTCTTTGAAGTTAAAAACCTAAGCATATAATTTTGCAACTGCTGTTTCTGAGCTGTTTTTTGTACCATAACAAAGTTACAGCCTAGATGTATGGTCACAGTTTCCTACTTCACCTTCAAGGATACAGGCAGTAATTATCCTTAGTTGAGTAGGGCGGTGGGATTTCTTACATCGATGGTAGTACTGGCGAAACATACTACAGCTTTCTAATAACAAAGGTTACTTCTGCAAAACCAATAGTAATAATAAAATTCTCTGAGGTCAGTATGAAAGTCAAAGAATAGTACCTCAGGTGTATGAATCATGTAGTAGTAGTAGTTGAGCTTTCACTGCTTTTTTTTTTTTTTTTTTTCCTTCCTCCTTCCCTAGATCTAGGTCCAGATCGCGCTCAAGGTCCCGGTCTGTTGTATGGCCTCGAAGCAGGTAAAACACTTGTTTTAATTCAAGCCAATAATAGCTTATTCTTTTTCTTTTTCCTTCCCCAGGGAAATTTGGCTGGAAGGGGTTAGGAGGTTATGCAGCATAGCAATATCTCTGCTTAACGTTAATAATTTATGCCTTTTCATGGATTAAAGTAGCGGTCGTTTTCTTGTAATAAACAGGAGGTTTGTTTTGGTCTGTAGGTAGTATATGTAGCCATAAACAAAGTATAAATACATATGTGAGCCGGCACAGGTAGTACACAGAAACAACCACAAAAGCATGGATGAAATGCAAAGAGTAAATTTATGTTCATTACCTCGCCAACCGAGGGATCCCCAAAGCTGCACCGGGGCAGAGGCACACAGGCAGGGGGATGCAGGCACGGCAGAGCTCTGTCCCTGCTAGATGATCACCGAGCCTGCTGTTTTCCCCTCTTTAATCAGGGGTTGATGCAGGTGTAGTTTACCACTGTGCTTGGATCTTTCTCTCACAGCAGAGAGAAATCTCAGGTGTGTTCCACAGGGTGCCTCAAGTCTATCACGGGCCTGTGTTACGTAAACACAGGTGTTCTGCTTGTCCAACGCACGAGGCTGAAAAACAATTAGTGTGATACGTGTGGCAGCGGAGCTGGTGAGGGGTCTGGAGCACAAGCCTTATGAGGATCGGCTGAGGGAACTGGGGGTTGTTTAGCCTGGAGAAAAGGAGGCTGAGGGGAGACCTTCTCGCTCTCTACAGCTACCTGAAAGGAGGTTCTAGCGAGGTGGGGTCGACCTCTTTTCCCAAGGAACGAGTGACAGGATAAGAGGAAATGGCCTCAGGTTGCACCAGGAGGGGTTTGGATTGGATATCAGGAAAAATTTCTTCACAGAAAGGGTTATCAAACATTGGAACAGGCTGCCCAGGGCAGTGGTGGAGTTGCCATCCCTGGAGGTATTTAAAAGCTGGGTAGACGTGGTGCTGAGGGACGTGGGTTAGTGGTGGGTTTTGGCAGTGTTAGGTTGATAGTTGGACTCGATCTTAAAGGTCCCTTCCAACCTAGACTATTCTGTGTTTCTGTGTGTTTTTCAGCACCCCAGCTGCGGGTCACTTGAGACTGTTTACAGTCCTCCTTGTCTATCTTCTTATCATACTTTCCCACAATATGATATAAAGTTTGTGGAGAGAAGTTCTGAAAACTAGTTAATGCCTATGCATGTAGAGAACACTTGACCTTGTGTCCCACAGGAAACACTGCTTGGGTTTTTCTTGTGATGTTTTGGTGTAAATCCCAAACGCTGCGGGGGGAGGAGGGAGATGAGAAGGTTGCCACTGTGGCTTTTCAGCTCTGTCAGTTCCAGTTCTGAGTGTTAGATCTAATTAGATTGCTGTAGTGCTAAAAACTACGTTACATGGGGTAGCACACTTGACTTCAGAGGTTTGGAGGGCTGAGTGAACAGGACTGTGAGTCCTGATGCCACAGGTAGTGTTTTTGAAGGATGTCTCTGACACATAGCCCTGGTTTTGTTGTTCTGAATGTTTTCTATGCTGAAATGGAAGTTAAGGAAAATGGGTATAGAGTAAATGCTCCTGCATTATTTTCCTCTGTCCTTTAAGTCTGAGTTGGAAGAAGGGTGAAAGAGTAGGATAAAAATGTGATGGACGTGAGAGTGAGCTCATAAGTTGGAAGAAGTTGCCTTTTGTTTTTGCATTAGAATAGAGAAAATAAATGTTTTTTAAGAGGTCTGCCTGCTACTTTAGGACTTGCACATTGAGCATTTAACGGGATGGTGATGATTATTACTAGAGCTGTCCTGACTTACAGAGGTCTCTAATGCTGGAGGTGACTAGCCAGGCTTGACTCGCATGCTGCTACTGCAGAAGAGTCTGGTTACTGCTGATGTTGCTTGATGACTGCTTGTTCTGGGACAGTCCTGTTTCTGCATGAAAGACTTGATACATCGAAATTTCCAAGGAATGCTGACTTTGCCTAGGTCTGCCGTTGTGGAAGTGGTGGAAAGGGGTAATTCAGGACTGAAGTTACTGTGAAAACTCCTTTCTGTATTAGCCAGTGCTGGTCCTCTGCTAATACCGGTATGTAACTGGTGTTGCTTTGAGAGCTTCTGATCTTCAGTCCTGCTTTGTTGCTGTGCCTCTCAGAAGGAAGACTTGTGAGCAGTTCTTGCAGGAAGGTGATGTTCTTGTGTGCTGCCTTACGGTATTTCTTACCAAAGGAAATAATGCTGGTGCTACAAAATACAAATTCCGGGTAGTTGTCAGCAACTCCTTCCTGTGTAACTGTGATACAGTAACAAAATTACTGGTGATGGTGTTGGGAACTGTGACAGATGATGCCTCTGCATAGTGATCAGGAAGGTTTCAAAGCAGTGGCACATAACTCTGTTTAACTTACATCAACAGTGTCCATGTAGTACTTCTACTTAATAGGCCGTGTGAAGGTGAATCTTGATTACCCTTTAAAAACAGTTCTGAGAAGAAAGAAGAAAAGTTTTGTACTTTTTTGGCCAAGTCTGTTAAACAACTGACTGTCTTGAACACTGGGCTTTCTGATGTTCAGTAATCACAGAATGGTTAGAGTTGGAAGGGACCTTGAATATCATTGAGTTCCAACCCCCCTGCCCTGGGCAGGGACACCTCCCACCAGCCCAGGTTGCTCCAAGCCCCGTCCAACCTGGCCTTGAACACCTCCAGGGATGGGGCAGCTGCAATACCGCATGCCTGAATTCTGACGCTCTAGGAGCACAAATATTTTCTAAGTAAGAGCGAACGCTGGAGTTGGTAAAGTAACATGAGAAATGTGGGAGGAAAGCCTCACTGTTTGAGTAGATTTTAATTAGTAAGATGAACTGGGAATAGTTTACACATTAGTTGGCAGATATTGAAGAGAAAACTGAAATGGTGTTTTCATTAGGATAACTGATGAAAAGGCAATGTTATCGTTAAATAAAAGTGGCACTGGGAGCTTGATATGAAGAATACCTCAGTTCTTCAGCAAATACGCCTGACTCCCAGGCTCTTAATGTGCTACTAAAAGGTTTTTCTAAGATGACACTTGGAACTATATTTTTCATTGCGGAGGGCATACTTGCAGGCGGGGAGAAAGTCTGGGAGCCTGGTACAAGGTGTTGTGTCTTGTGGAAGTGGTAACTGAAGCTTTGCTGGGGAGCTGCTTGTGCTTTTACTCTTATCTTCTGATAAGTGGGGGCTCTGGAATAAGAGCTGAAGGATTCTCCTGAAATGTCCTGAGAAGTCTGTGGCGCCCGAGCCTCCCTCTCTGGTTTGGGATGCTATGTAGTATGAATTTGCTGTTGCTGGTTTAGCTGACTTGCATTGTATGTGCATGCCACTGTCTGCTTTGCTGAGCTTTATTTTTCTCCTGTTGTAGGTCTGGGTCCCATGGTAGATCTAAATCTGGCTTACCTGCTAAAAGGTGAGCGTATCAATACAAGTAGCACTCCGTATTTTTATGGTTTTTTTGGTCATGATTCAAAATCTCTGCTCGGACCAGTATTTCAGTTGCACGTGGAATAGGTTTTTGGGGATTTTTTTTGTTTGGTTTTTATTGCTGGTTTGGTTTTATTTTTTAATACCTGATTTTAAAATATTTTTCACGTTATTTTTATGGGGTTTTTTTAATAGCTGATTTTTGTGGGACAATAGGCAATTCTTCCAGAAGGATTGCGGATACAGTTTTTTTGCTTAATCCGTGATCGTGACAGAAAGTATTTTTGACAGGATTTGGGGTATGTCTTTCTCTACCTTTGTTATCAACTGTCTGGTAGTTCTTGGTGTTCCCGACTGTCCTCTACTTGATCTGCTGCTCCTGCTTTGCAGGGTGACTGTGATCGTTTTACAGCTGCTTTGAAGCTGTGTGTTGCTCTTTTCCTGAGGGCTCCAGCTTTTCAGCAGTTTTCCTTCTCCACTGCAGCTTCTTGCTTAAAGTAATTCTTTATACCTGCTATGGGCAGCATTAAGGGTAGTGTCTTTTAATATATTTAACATCAAACTGTTCTTAATGTTATTAAATGGTCAAAAGTGGTTACTGAGTGTATACAAGTTTACTACATTGACTGTTTTGGTTTGTGTTTTTTTTGTGTGTGTGTGTTTTGTTGTTGTTTTTTTTAACAGTCGCTCAAAGTCCAGATCACCATCTCCAAAGAGAAGGTAGGAATATCTTAAAACTGGAGCATGCCATACTGTTCCATTGAGCTAGTGTCTGGGGTAGTTGCTATAGAAGGTAACTTGTGCAAGGATAAAAAAGGTTTTTTTTTTTTTACTTGTCTTAATTTGTGAACTATGAAAAGATGAATTCTTACGGGTGCTTCCTACTATGAAAAGATGAAGTTCTGTGGGCACTTCCTACTGCTGGTAGTCAGAACGGGATGATAACTTGAAGGTAACCTACTTTAATGAAATCTTAACGGACAACAGAAAATGTGGGCAAATGAGAATCAGCTATCCCAAAGTTCCTGAGGAATTCACAATCTGGGAAAGAAGTGAGCAATATAAGGTATGGAGCAAACCATGGACACGTTGGTAGGATTAAATTCCCGCTGGTGGCTCCTCACAGCTGGCTCTTGCACAGCTCCCGAATTTTGCTGTGCACTGTGAAGCGAGAAGTAAGTTTTCCTGTGGAACCAGAGAAGTATGTGCCGGAATTGCCATCATTGGTGATAGTGCCCCACGGCACTAGCCCTAAACTGGAACCGTGTAGGTTCTGGCAGAGCAGGAATTCCTCCGCACAGCTGGAGCGCAGGCTCCAAGGTGCTTTCTGAGCAGGCCGGGTGCCTCACCTAGCTGTCGCAGCTCACGGCTCTTGTCTTGCCTGCCCTTTTCAAACTTAAAGCAGTTGTTACTTACAAAGGTGTACATGAAAACTGTGGGGAGGGCTCTTGAGCAGAGGAGAGAAACCTGGGGTAGCACTCACAGTTTTCTGTTGGTTTTTACTGGAGGAGTTGCTCTTAAATCTCTTTCTTTCCCTTTCAGTCATTCACCATCAGGAAGCCCTTGAAGGAGTGCAAGTCCTGAAAGAATGGGTTCAAATTTAAAAAGTTTAAGAAGAAAATTTATTTTGTTTACATTATTATAAGGGATTTTGTGGTGTCTTTATAAATGTAAGGGCTTCGTCCTAGAAGGCTGTTTCTATTGACTAACAATTGGCATGAATCTGGATCTTTAACAAGTCTTATTAGTAGACTAATGCAAAACTCTTATTGTGTTAACGTTCTGTGATCTGGAAATGTTGGGCTTTTTTTATTGGCGCGTTGAAATAAACTGTGCATTTCTAACGAAGAAATATTTTTGTGAGAAACCTGCTGTTTCTGTTAATATTTGGGTAGCTGAAGCTGGTCGGGTGTTCCTGTGGTGCAAAGCAGGAGGCAGGCTGTTGGAGGCGCTTGTGACGAGAGCATGGGTTGGCGGCTGTTCCGCAGCCGTGTGCCTCTTGTAGGACATGTCACTCCTACAGAGCACCAGTTCAAGTGAGGAGTTAGCGGGACCAGCTGTCAGTTGGTCTTGAATGTTAACGTTGATCTGTACCTTGTGGTTTTTATTTGTACCTCCTCAAAGCTCAGCGAAGCTGAAAACCTGTGTGGATGATTTGACTTAGAAAAATGTCTACAGAGGGCATGAACAGATGAGAAAACAAGGAGTGTGTGAACACTGGTCTGTCTGTCCTGTTGATTACAGAAAGGACCAGTGAACTTCTCACCTGAAGGTATTTGGAATAATTCTGGAATGTAAACTATTGAAGTAAATATTTTTAGAAATCTTGTTTTATGTCCTGGTTGTCCGAATAGCACTTCTTTGTGATACTTGGGATAAATTGGCAGTTCTGGTGCAGAAGATAACACATTTAGATACTCTTTTTAGGAAAATTTAAGGCTTTTCTTACAGATGGAGGGTCACAAGCAGAACCTGCAGGCCATGTTGAAGTAGCAGTACATTTGGGGAATCGAGAGCTCTCATCTCACCCCTCTCTGACCTGATCTGCCTGGTGGCATCTTCTCCTTTGGCAGTAGTTTAACCAAGGGACTGGTTGCCGGCTTCATGGGTTGTCAGTTTGGGAAACTGGACCTGTACGCAGGTGGTCCCTGTCTCACCACGGATACGTTACTGAAGGATGTAACGTATGTATGATAAACCAGCGCAAGGTAATTGCCAGTTTCATTTGTCTTTGCAGCTTTGGCCATTACCAGGCTGGTAAGGAAATCAGAGCGCCAGGTGACTTTGACCTAAAAGTCTTCCTTTGAATACGTTCTGGCCTGTATTGCTGTGTCTTACAGGCCAGCGAGGAACAGTCGTTTTCTTGGGGCTTCTAATTTGTCAGCAGCGGGTTGACACTCTACTGGAGAGCACTGCAGCTGGGCATGGGCACCCAGCCCCACCTTTCGAGAGGAATTTTGCTCACTGTTGCTTTACAAGATGTCCAGGTATTTAAAGAATGCTAATGAGCCCCTGCACATGAGTTCACAGACTCTTCCTGTGTACTACAGCGTGTTTTGTCTCGTCGCTCCTCTCCTCTCTCTTCCCCATGTTTGTACATTTTAGGATAAGTGGCTTTCCTTGCTGACGATGCTGCAATTACTATTTTGTTATAACCGTAGTCCATTATAAGCTGTAGAAGAGGGAGCTGGAAGCAACAGCATTAAATTAGAGTCACCCAAAAGCCACTGCTAAACACTCCTGAGGGGAGTGTCCCCTTCCCCTGCCCTGTTGTGGTTTACATGTAGCATTATGGTAAAATTACTCCAGGCAACGCTGCTTTTAACAGGGGCGGTGCTTTTCCTTTTTTTCCTCTGTACTGCTGAAGCAAGCTGACTCCGTAATAAACCTGTAGACTAAAATCCTTCCGGTCTTTCTACTCATTAGAGTATTACAAGAAAGAGGGGAGGTGGGGAGGGGAGAAGGGTTTAAGAGCATGCTTTGAGGGAGAAGGCGGTGGGGGTGGCCCCAGAGGAAGGCCTGTGGTCCTTAATAGTTGCACTGCCACTGTGTTTGGAGCTTGTCATCTGTATTTCAGGTGTTTCTGCTGTCTCAAGGGCAGTTCCAGCTGGGCTGAGGAGGGCTTGGAGCATGCTGGGCCCCAGCTCTGCCTCTGCTGTCCACCCCGGGGGGTGCTGGACTGCCTGTATTCTATTTTTTCATTCTATTTATTTTAGTAATGGAAGGGGGGAGATGGAGCTGTTGTGTGGACTGGCCCTGGTTTCAGGAAGGATGCAAGTAATAAAACCAGTGTGCCCAGTTAGTGCAGCTGCAATGCCTGGTTTTGGCAGCATGAAGCCGAATCCTTCCTAAAGTAGGGGTTCTACTAAAGTAGGCAGCGAGGTGTGAGGGCTGTGCTCCTCATTCAGTACCCACCATCACCTTTTGAGTGTCTATTGATCTGTGCTTTCTCCCCTTCCGAGCCTTGCCCATTCTGCCACCAAGGCAAAGCATGAGGAGGTTTCACAAGACCTCCAGTGGGGTGGATGCTGCTACCTACCCCCTGCGACATCACCAGCTG